AATTTAAGCGTAGAATGAGAAACTTTAATCAAATCTTTCCCAAGGCCTAAAATTTGTGCTAATTGTGTTTATTTTTTCTTTCCGAATTTTGTTGTAATTTTATAGCTAAAATTTGTTTGGTGGTAATTGTGATAAAAAGAATTAATAATTCAAGTAAAGAATAATAAAGTTTTTTGAGGGTTTTAGGTAATTGGAAAAGAAGCAAGAGGAGTGTACAATGCAGGACAAGCAAAAGGAATGACATTTTGGGCACCAAACATTAACATATTCAGAGATCCACGGTGGGGAAGAGGCCAAGAAACTCCCGGCGAAGATCCGACGATGACCGGAACTTACGCGGTGGCTTACGTCAGAGGATTACAAGGTGATTCTTTCGACGGTCGGAAAAAACTCTCCGGTCACCTTCAAGCTTCTGCTTGTTGTAAGCATTTCACAGCTTATGATCTTGATCGTTGGAAAGGTATCACTCGTTACGTTTTCAATGCTCAGGTAAAATTCTTCTTAATCCTTGAATAATCCATAATTAAATTAAGATAATGAAATGGTTTTGTTTTTCTTCTAATTAAAGTGCGCTTTTGTTGTAATTCAAAAAAAAAAAAAAAGTGTGCTTTTGTTTTCTAAAGTGTTCTTTATAGGGCATCAAAGTAAAGTTTTGTTTTTACATAATGCCGTTTTTATAGTTTTAAAATGAGAAATTAATTCTTTGATTGCAATTTGCACACTCTTTTTACGTCTTATCATGAATATATGTGCTAATCTTTATGTCTTGTCATGAATATTAATATTTACGTAGATTATCATTATGTAATTAACTTTAATGTTGATATTCTGACTTGGAGGCTGGTTGGAATCGAGTCAAATTTTGTTAAGAAACTACTCCGTAAATGAAATATTTGTTTTTAAATGTGTTATATAATTTGATTGGAGTAGAAACTAAATAAAATTAAGCTCACACATTATTCTTCTCATTAAAATTAAACTTATTAGTAAAAAAAAATCTCTTTCCGTTCTACAATAAAAGTCGACTTAAGATTTATTATTTTTTTATAAAAATAACTTATCATACAAAATAGTTTATTAATTTG